CAGCTTTCAAGGGTCCTTGCAGCTCTTGAGTGAAATTATTTGGTAAAATTGGGTCTGGGTTCCAACAGCCCCTTGTCCATTTGTTGTGTATAATAACACTTCTGAAAATTAGAGGCACACACACGAAGAAAAAATATGATTAAGCAATTTTAAATTACCAGTCTACCTTGTGCCCATATGGTAAATAGAAAGGAGTAAAAGTTTGTGGTTGTTCTTCGTGGCATTTTGAAAGGTGGGCGATGGTCCTTCCCTGTTAATAATCTCTCACACTTCCGAAATCTAACAAATTTAACATAGGAAGATGGGATGGGTAAAGAACAAAGGAAAGAGCACCCATTATCCTCAAAGTCATACAGTAAAAATTAAGGTTTCTCTATGAGCTTTTGAGTGAGGGAAGAAAGTTTCACAGGCGATTTACTTTCTAATTCTTACCCCAGCATTCTGTACCCTAACCTTTCTAGCATATTTCTTGTTATTTATTTTTAGAAAATATGTGATTTTATATTCTTATTTATTTATTTATTTATTTATTTATTTGGAAAATAACCCTTCTAAATGCATTCCTCTATCTTCATTCATTTGTGTTTCTTAAAATCTTAAAGCTCTGGCCCTTCTGGAAGCTGAGTGGTACCCCACCTGCCAAGTGGAGTGACTGGGCATTTTTGTGACTTAGAGGACAGGACAGAAGAAAACATTTTGTAAAGTAGCATATGCCAGGATCCTTACTACATAACTCTCTGTTTTCTTGTAGTACTTGGGGATAGACAAATAGAATCTCATCTGGTCAGATTCTTCAGCCTTTCCCTAAATCTTAGGTACAATATTCTCTGTATCTCTGGCTTTTAAAATCACAAACTTTTCTACACTTTTTGGGTTTATTTACCTCTTGAATACCAGGCTCCGACGTCATTTCCCTCGCTGCAGAAGGGTCCCTGCTATGGCCATGTCCACAAGAGGTGGTTAGAAGGTTAGCTTGCAGAGAAACAAGGAGCACAACAGAAAGAGGAGGGGGAGCACTCCATTCAGTTAAAGCTGGCTCCTAACACATTTAACCAGTTCCAGAATTAGAAAGCCTTTCTGTACATTTTCTCCCATTTTTCTTGCTTCTTTTCCTTATGTAATGAAATTAAAACTTTTGGAGCCCACAGTTGACATTTTTCAGAAAATTGAGTTATCAAGGCAGTAATTATTTCTCGGGGAGATAAAACTCTCATAGCCCTAACTGTCAAATAGGGCCCTTTTCAGATTTTAATTACAAAATAAAATTAGTCTGCTCTTCCTCGGAATGGTTGGCGAGTGGTTAAACAGAGCTTTCTCCCAATACTGGTGGTCGTCAAACTCTGCTAATTAGCAATGCTGAGAAATTCCAGTTAACAAGGGCATTCTCCCAGACGCTGCAGGTCCCCTGCCATTCGCCTTCATTTCCATAAGGAGATTAGGAGAGGAGGGAACCCACTCAAATGCAGATGCAGGAGCGAAGCGTTTTTAACAAGCATCATAATAGTAAGATGCTTGGCTAGTTCTCACTAATTACTGCAACTTAAACCTCTATTTGCCACTAAGAAGAAAAAAATAAGTCTACAGTCCTCACCTCCTCAAAATTGTCAGTTGGCTTCAGATATAATACTTGAGGAAGGATAGGGAGCGTTTAGGAGAGAAAAACTGATGTAAAAGATTTGTAAATAAAATTGGGTTATATTTAGCAGTTAAGGCTTCTGGCTAGGGCCAATAGCAGAGCAAAATAAAATCTGATTACTCCAGGCATATACTAATCACTAATGCTGGTCTAAAAGTGTATAGCTTTTTGCTGCCCATGGAAGAGAAGTGTTACATTCTCTTTAGATGAAGCACTTCCAATTTTCATAAACTATGCCAGTGGCAACATTTTAAATTCACGGAAGATGAAGCACCCTGTTCCAAGTCTTTTTCTGATTGTCTGCTAGTCAATAGTGTATTGTTGCTGGTACTGTAGTCAGCTATTATAACCCCAAAAGAGTCTTGCCTCTGTCGTAGGCTGGGACTGTTATAGTTATTATACTTAGTGGACTATGATGGTGCTGGATTGAAATCGGGTGACAGTGATCTAATTTTTTTTTTCAAAGCATATGTTCTAAAAATATAAACTACAACTGGTTTTTACTACCACCATCTTCTTTCATCTTATTTTCATTGCACATTATTAGGCATAAGCAGGAGCCACAGTCAGTTTATTGCCTCGCTAAGTCTAAGTACAATACGCTTAATTAAAATAAAGCTGTAAATAGGAACTACAAATGATAACACGGTTGTAATGTACTTCCATAGTTTATTCATATGATAAAGCAATTAACAAAAGACCTAACCAGAACTCTTACCCTCTTTAAATACATTATTATAGAGTTCAGGTGAAAACACATGTCTCTGAGAGTTGCACACTATCCCGATGCGGGGGCGGAAGGGGGGCATGTTTCTTACTACTACCCTTGAAAGAAAGCTATCAAGATTTTAAAAAGATGTTCCTTTATCATCATCCATTATTAATATTTTATCTTAATAAATATACACCACCGTTGTCCACCTCAATTCGTTGTTTTTCTTCAAACTTAATTATCCATAAGCTTTTTTAAGTTTTCAGAATAACACTATTAAGCGCCTACTGATACACACACAATCACAAAGTGCATGCTCCGCCTGCCCTTCGTGGCGCGCGGACAATCATAATTCATTCATATGTTGAATTTCATAATTTATACCTATTTTCCCCTGGTTTAACCTTCCACTTCATCTGGCGGTTCTATGTACATTTCTAAGTTAAGCAAATTAAATTTGATTCTTATGATTTGGTCTCATGGCTTATATGATATGTTAACTTTTCTTTTGTTTAGATTATGTGTAATTAGTTTGATCTTCCATCCTCCTCTTTTTTTTTTTTAACTTTAATTATTTCTACACACCTTCTTTTTAAAGGTAAAGGATAGCCTTGGAAAATCGAAGCACCAGCAGGGGGCGCAGCAGCCACATCCCAGAAACTAGGCATGCTGAAAAGTCGGTGGCTGCCTTCCCCAGCTCAACCTTTTCTGTAGTCCCCTGAGATTGGTGTTGAGCATAATAGTACACCCCGATTAAGCTGAAAACAATGCTTTAATTTGAAGAGTCCCAAATATTTACGCGTTTCTATAAGTCCTTTCCGGGTTCCCAAGATCCAAAACAGTCAAAATTTAAGGAGCAGACAGTACATGCAGAAAGTGAAGTAGAGAAGAAATTATTTCAAGTTTGCAAAAATTCTTTGCCACAACTTTTCTGGGTGTAAATTGAGCATATTTAGCTCGAGTGTGACAATAACCGCCAAGTCTGGGAGGATGGGAATTGGAGACCTGGGGGTGGGGGAGAGTCGTGGTGGGAGAGTGAAGAATAAACAGGGCAGTCTGTAAGGACAATGTGCGAAGCGTGGCCGGCAGATACCCTTCTGAACGCTTTCTTTAGGCCGAGTTGGGGTAGTTGAGAGGAGGAGGGGCTGAGAGAATTGCAGCTAAAAAAGAAAAAAAAAAAGTAACCCTGATGGTTTAAGCTCTTTATTTAAAAAGAAAAAAATGGCATCAGGACTTTTTTTTCGTCTCCCCCCCCCCCCTTTTGTACCCAAGTGCATTTTAGCCACAAAGGTTCCAACAAGAGTGGAAGGAAACTTAGACGGGGCTTTGTTTGACTCCGTGTAGCGACAACAAGAGAAACAAAACTACCTATTTGTAACGGACGTGTTGCGGTGGCTCTGGGCTTTTTGAGCGCCTGCCGATTGAAATCTTTACGTCTGGACAAAGAGAGATCGGCTAAAATTACCCTCTCGGGTCTTGGGCGGGCAAGATTCTTGGGCCCCTACCCCCGCCCCCGGCCCATCCTCCGGCCGCCTGGGCTTGCTGGGCCCGGCTCCCCGGGTTCTGCAGGCCCTATCCCTACGCACTTGGCTTGCACCTGTACCTCTGAACCCCACGCGCCTCCCAGGCCCCAGGGCTTCCCAGCCATAGACCAATTCGGCCCGGCCTTCACGGCTACCACCGTGGCAGTCAGCAGGGGCAATGCCAGCAGCGCAGCTCCCACCCTGGGAACACTGCGTGGGAGGGAGTTTGTGAGCGCAGCCCAAATGCCACCTCTGTGCCTCACTGTAGGATGCCAGGAAGTTGCGTGACCCTCCCCCCATCGCTGCACTCTGGAGTCTCTTTCTGTTGATTCTTTCGTCCCCAGGCTCTCATATGAAACTGCCACCACTGAAATCCTCTTGTGTCGAGGGGTGGGGGTTAGGAAGAAAGTGGGAGGAGAGTTCAAGCTTTGCCTTTGCACCCTCTGGATGGGACAGACTGGTGGAGGAGGAGGGAGTTAGGGTTGTGGACATGTGCTGCTTGGTGTTCCTTAAACCACACCTGAGTCAGGCTAGGAGAAGACTGCGAACGAGGCCTGTCCCTAGCTCTGCTCTGCAGTGGGCCACATAGGCAGAGGATTCGTGTTTGTTTGGGAACCGAGCGGATGACGTGGAAGCCAGGAGGGCACTGCGGCCCGAGGCTTGGGTCTAACTTCTTGTCTACTGTGAGACCAGGGGATGAGTGGGTGTTGGCACCAAGGTAGGAAGAGGGGCTGGAACCGAGAGCCCTGCCGCGGATGAGAAAGGAACAATGGCACACCACCTCCGGCCCTGCCAGCTTCCTGAAATACTAGTTGGACCGTCGCCCTGAACCACCCATGGGCCCTGCCCCACCCTGGCCCCAGCTCCCCGCGCCCCATCCTCCCTTATGTACCCAAAAGGGAGCCAATATTCCGTAGCAAGGGGGGGGGAGGAGCTGTCGTCTTGGTGCTGTTTACCCACTTCCTTCGAACAGGCGTGCGCCGTGACCTGTTGCTGAGGAAGGGGGATACAAAGGTTCCCCCGCGGCCGGCTGCAGGCTGCGGGCCCGCCTCCCCCGCGCCGCTCCGGGCACAGCGCTCTGCTGGGCTCCGTTCGGCGGCGCGGCAGGCCCCGCCCCCTTTCATGCAAAACCCTCTGGCGAGGCTGGGCTCCGGCGCAGGAGCCGGCGCTCGCTGATTGGCCGCCGGAAACCCATTTATTCCCTGACAGCCCCCATCACATGGATGGTTGTCTATTAACTTGTTCAAAAAAGTATCAGGAGTTGTCAAGGCAGAGAAGAGAGTGTTTGCAAAAAGGGAAAAGTACTTTGCTGCCTCTTTAAGACTAGGGCTGGGAGAAAGAAGAGGAGAGAGAAAGAAAGGAGAGAAGTTTGGAGCCGGAGGCTTAAGCCTTTCCAAAAACTAATCACAACAATCGCGGCGGCCCGAGGAGGAGAGCGCCTGTTTTTTCATCCCAATTGCACTTCGCCTGTCTCGAACTCCGCTTCCCCCCAACTATTCTCCGCCCGATCTCCGCGTAGGGCCGTGCACGCCGACGCCCCCGCCCGCGGCCCCTGCAGCCCGGCCCCCGCGCGCGGCCCCCGCAGTCCCGGCCGGGCCGAGGGTCGGCGGCCGCCGGCGGGCCGCGCCCGCGCCCAGCGCCCGCATGTATAACATGATGGAGACGGAGCTGAAGCCGCCGGGCCCGCAGCAAGCTTCGGGGGGCGGCGGCGGCGGCAACGCCACGGCGGCAGCGACCGGCGGCAACCAAAAGAACAGCCCGGACCGCGTCAAGAGGCCCATGAACGCCTTCATGGTGTGGTCCCGGGGGCAGCGGCGTAAGATGGCCCAGGAGAACCCCAAGATGCACAACTCGGAGATCAGCAAACGCCTTGGCGCCGAATGGAAACTTTTGTCGGAGACCGAGAAACGGCCGTTCATCGACGAGGCCAAGCGGCTGCGCGCTCTGCACATGAAGGAGCACCCGGATTATAAATACCGGCCGCGGCGGAAAACCAAGACGCTCATGAAGAAGGATAAGTACACGCTTCCCGGAGGGCTGCTGGCCCCGGGCGGGAACAGCATGGCGAGCGGGGTTGGGGTGGGCGCCGGCCTGGGCGCGGGTGTGAACCAGCGCATGGACAGCTACGCGCACATGAACGGCTGGAGCAACGGCAGCTACAGCATGATGCAGGAGCAGCTGGGCTATCCGCAGCACCCGGGCCTCAACGCGCACGGCGCGGCGCAGATGCAGCCCATGCACCGCTACGACGTCAGCGCCCTGCAGTACAACTCCATGACCAGCTCGCAGACCTACATGAACGGCTCGCCCACCTACAGCATGTCCTACTCGCAGCAGGGCACCCCCGGCATGGCGCTAGGTTCCATGGGCTCGGTGGTCAAGTCCGAGGCCAGCTCCAGCCCCCCCGTGGTTACCTCTTCCTCCCACTCTAGGGCGCCCTGCCAGGCCGGGGACCTCCGGGACATGATCAGCATGTACCTCCCTGGCGCCGAGGTGCCGGAGCCCGCTGCTCCCAGTAGACTGCACATGGCCCAGCACTACCAGAGCGGCCCGGTGCCCGGCACGGCCATTAACGGCACACTGCCCCTGTCGCACATGTGAGGGCCGGACCGCGAACTGAGAAGGGTAGAGATTTTCAAAGAGAAGCAAGGGAATTGGGAGGGGTGCAAATGAGGAGAGTAAGAAAAATCTGCTATACTCAAAGGAAAAAAAAAAATCTTATTACCCGCAGCCAAATGACATCTGCGGAAAAAAAAAACACCAATCCCATCCAAATTAACGCAAAAACCGTGTTGCCGACTAGAAAACTTTTATGAGAGATTTTGGGACTTCTTTTTCGGGGACTATTTTTGTACAGAGAAAACCTGAGGGCGGCAGGGAGGGTGGGGGAGTCGGACCATGTATAGATCTGGAGAAAGAAACTACGCAAAAGTTTTTTAAAGTTCTAGTGGTACGTTAGGCGCTTCGCAGGGAGTTTGCAAAAGTCTTTACCAGTAATATTTAGAGCTAGACTCCGAGCGACGAAAAAAAAGTTTTAATATTTGCAAGCAACTTTTGTACAGTATTTATCGAGATAAACATGGCAATCAAATGTCCATTGTTTATAAGCTGAGAATTTGCCAATATTTTTCGAGGAAAGGGTTCTTGCTGGGTTTTGTTTGATCCTGCAGCTTAAATTTAGGACCGTTACAAACAAGGAAGAAAGAAATTTATTCGGATTTGAACATTTTAGTTTTAAAATTGTACAAAAGGAAAACTTGTGCAAGTACTGGCAAGACTATTTTCTTGGTCTTGTTTAAAAAGGGCAAATGTTCTAGATTGTACTAAATTTTTAACTTACTGTTAAAGGCAAAAAAAAAATGTCCATGCAGGTTGATATCGTTGGTAATTTATAAAAGCTTTTGTTCAATCCCACCTTTCCATTTTGTTCAGATAAAAGCATATGGAATTACTGTGTTGGAATATTTTCTTATGGTTTGTAATATTTCTGTAAATTTGTTGTGATATTTTAAGTTTTCCCCCCTTTTATTTTCCGTAGTTGTATTTTAAAAAATTCGGCTCTGTTATTGGAACCAGGCTGCCGAGAATCCATGTATATATTTGAACTAATACCACCATCCTTATAACAGCTACATTTTCAACTTAAGTTTTTACTCCATTATGCACAGTTTGAGATAAATAAATTTTTGAAATATGGACACTGACATTATGCCTGAGTCTTTCATTTCTTTGGCTAGCAATACTTATACATAACTTCTTGGGGAATTAGAATACCGTGCTGAGCCACCAGGCTTGATGTTTCCAGCAGTGCCTGTTAGCATTAACCGCAGAAGAAAAAGATGGCTGGGAAACTGAAATGCGCTGTCATTTCTAAAATAGAAACTAGAGGCATATATTGTAAGTCCACCCCCTCCTTTCCTAAGCAGCGTGAATAAGCGCGATGTGGGCTTAAGCTAGCTTGTGCCACTTGTTGCCAGAAGGAGTCGATTCTGAAATTTTCATGTAGCTTAGCAGATGGGGTATTGAGCCAAATCAGAGCCAGGTTGGCTGGGTTTGTTTTCATTTTCTTTACAACACAATGGCCCTTTGAAATGTGGTTTATAGGGGAAAATGATGCTTCTTGTATCGGAATAATTACAAAGTAGACACGCCGAGTGTTCTGCCGGGTAGGTGCTTGGGTGACTCTAGCTCTACTATTGTGTGAGGAAACAAGTGGTTTTCTGTCTTTGTTTCCTGACTTCATAAACTTTCTCCTCTGCGTTTTCCTGTTTGGGGCTAGGAAAAAGCGAAGACCGGCTTGCAAAACTCCCTTACTTATCATGGACTTTTTATTTATTCCCCCCTTTCTCCCCCACCCCCACCCCGGATTCCACTTCTTAATTTGGCAGCGCGGGTCCAAGCCTGTAGTCCCAAATCGGATAATCTCTGCAGCTGGCCACACGCAAAAGAGAAGCCAGGCAACAGACATATTACAGAAGCAAGCTCTCGACTCCGAGGTAGATATTTCGCTTTGTGCGCTCTGATCACATTTGGACATGATTGTGCTTTTGATCTGTTAACTGTTTTACTACAGTAGTAGAGAGAAGGGGAGGAGAGAGGGTGGGGAAACGAGATTGGATTTGCTGTTTTCTTTCGCCCCAGGAAAAGTAAAGAGAGGCTGGCGATGTCCTCGGCTGGAGCGGAAAAGTTGGGAACCGCCATAGTCTTTAGCCTAACCAGCAGGTTCTGGCGCATCAGAGGCCGCTGGCGGGCTTTTTTTTCCCCCCCGCTCATCTTCTATCCAAAGGCATCAATAACCAGGAATCGGGTGTCCTTAGGAGTTCAGCATTGCTTCTGTTTGTACAATGTCCTCTCGCTGCACCTCTGCAGAAGTTAGGATCCTGCGGAGCTTTCTGCCCAGCAGCCGGGTACCGGCCACAGCCGTTTCTCTCAGCCTCTAGGCCTATGTCGCCGCTTTTGCAAGGTTTTTTTTATCGAGGAGCTGCTAATGTTCTGTAAGAACTCAAGGTCTCGTTTTTCTGTGTTTATATTTCTTCTCGATCGCTTCACAGGTGTACAGTGGGTACTCATATTTATTTTCGTGTTTACGGTTAAGTTGTACTAGGAAGGAACATTTATTCAGTTCCCAATCCAAGCAAGGCATTTTCCCCTCTAATTAATGCAGAGACTCTGAAAGAATTTCCCCGGGCCTGGCTAGCCATTGTGATGCACATAGGATTATTCACGTGGTAATGAGCACGTTCGACAGTTCTTGTTCACACATAGGAATAAAAGAAACTTTGAATAAAGAACCAAACGATCGTGCTGGGGGAAAGGGGGGGGTATATTCCCGGAATTTGAGCCAATGGAAAGTATAGAATATATGCATTTGAAAATAAGTCTATCTTAGGATATATATATATATATATATATATATATAGAGAGAGAGAGAGAGAGAGAGAGAGAGAGAGAGTTTACAATAACTGACCCGACTCAGCCTCCCAGTTTAAAGGAACAAGAAAAAGCTTCTCTGGATCTGGCCCAAGCCAGACATTGTGGGGATATGCCCAGGTTCAAATATTTTGCAAGACAGAAGAACACTTTTTTGAGAGTTGAAATCACAAATGATTATCACTCTTCAAAAGAAGGAGATGCCCCATATCTCCAAACCAAATAGTTTAAAAGTAGAAGCCAAAGTACTTTGTTTGCAAATATAGAAGCTTTTGATAAACTGTAGCTGAAGAAAAGGACTTTCTTTTGCATTCTCCATTTGACTTAAAACAGTTCCCAAGATGTATAAATTTAATATTTATGAGCAAATAAATTTTAATAATAATTTCATTTTTTTAAGAAGGAACATAGACATAGAGTCATGCTTCTGCCCAGGAATGACTTGCTTCCATTACTGGTTGTTCACCTCATTCCTAGGAATATTATTCTGGTCAAAGATGCTTAATTTCTAGTCAAGAGGGTGAATTTTAATGTTGATTTGACCTTATACACAGACTAGAAATGTGTAACAGGATGAGCATATAATCTGTTCTTGGTACATTTTTTTTTCTCCCATACCCGCCCCCTCCATATCTTAAAGAGTGTTAAAATATTTTGCTGAGCGGGAGTAGATTAACAAGGTTCCTTTGCCAGTGCCGGAAAGCTGGTATCACAGACCATCCCAGGGGAAAATGGCTCACATTAACCACTAAATGAATATTTGACAAGGGCTCATTCGGAGGTATTATTACTATAAATGTGTCCCTACTGGACTTTTCAAGGTCAAAGAGCAATGCTTCAATTAATTATTTAGACTGCTAGTAGATTTGGATGTAATAGCTGTACTTATTTCTGGAAGCGACACATTCTTGCAGTAGGAAAATCTCCCGAGACTGTACATCGATAGCATCTCAGATGGAAAAGTGTATGAAACCCTGGTATTCCAAAGCTGACTTCATGAAACATTTTTCCTGGGCCAAGGGAAAGAGCCCCTCTCCCCCCAATTTCAGGAACTATTTTTGGTTTAAAAGGAAAACAACATAATAATTTATGTTAATTTCATCACCATGTCTGGCAAGATCTTTTAGAGTTTGTGATGTGGGGGGAAACTGAATGGTATTTTATAAAACCCACTGCCTTGTCTAAATAAGGAAGTGACAGGATTTCCTAGTCCCTATCAGGCTCTGAACTTAGGGAGGGTACATGCTTTTGTTTGGCAATAAAAGCAAAAACTTGAAATGGAAGGCACCAGGCTGAGTGTTCTGAGTTCTAGTAATGGCACAGTAAATTGGGGTGCAAGGAGTCCCCTCTTTTCCTGTTGTCCTGAACACTGTAGTAGGGGGGCACATTTCTATCATGATACAGGTTCCTCCATGACCCTAGGTAAAATGGTAATCAAATGATTTTGAGAGTAAGATTCCTCCACAATAATAATATAAATCGAATGAATAAGAGATAAGCTGGGGGGGTAGTAATTACAGCCCAATTCATTCAGCTTTTCAGAACTTTTGTTGTAGGCGCTCCATTGACTGGGTTTGAGCTGCCAGTTTTCTCACATTGAAAGGAGATGATCAGCGCCTGCGGGGTTGGGGGGCAAGGACTACTGCTAAACTGCCTGGTGATGGGGTCTTCATTTAGAACCATTACAAGAGCGAAATTAAATCGTGCCTTTGTGTGCTCGAGGTTTTACTTTTCAACTGCTCACAGTTTACAGCTAACTGCTCTGAGATTGAGGTCTGACTATGGCCTCACTGTGGTTTCATCACTACTAGTTGGCATCTCTTACATATCTATCTTATCTATCTATCTATCTGTTTATTTTATGTTATGATTGAAAGCACTTCCTCTCTGAAACTCCCTCCCCCATTCTTTTTTTTTTTTTTTTTTTTTTGAAAAGTTTTGAAAAACAGATCTTCATATTTTTTTCTTCCAGGAATTTCTTTTGCCTGGAGCTTTTTTTAGCCAGGACTTGAGTTTATGATTTCCCATATTACAACCCTACTATTACTTTAAAATAATTTGAATCTCTGTGTGAGTTTTTGCTTTGATTTTGTTTGTTTTCAGCTGCTTTTCCTTGCTCTTGGATCTAAAACTTACCTTCAGGGTCCACCTGGGCCTGGGCTTGGGGACTGACTTCATATTTTTCCCCTTCCTTTTTTGACCTGACTTGAAAGATGTCTGACTGCCTCTCCCTAGGGACCCTGTCTGGGAGATGGAACCCTTAAAGCCTGGAGAAACTCTGTCCTTTACTGTGAGAGTCTGGATAATGTCCAAAGGCCTGTAAACAGCCTCTGGAAATTTAAAATAAGCTCAATAGAGCTTTCCAAAGACAGAGAGATGGCTCGAACTGCAAGATTTAGGTTGACATCTTTCATAGTTATTTTCTATTAAAAAAAAAAAAAACTTTACCGGAAATGTGCCTGTGACACCAGCGGAGAGCCTCCTCTCTTCTAGGGATGCTGGCCAGCTCTAGTATTGTCATTCTGCGCGAGGATGTTTTCCTTCTGTGGCCTTTAGAAAATAATGGACGACTCGACTTTCTTGTTTTGACTAAAGAGACTTCTCTTGGGGAAACAGGAGTACTCAGGTAAGCTGGGATTTCTCGAGTCAGAGCCCTCTTTCTATGTGCGGTTCCGGATGAATTGTATTTTATATTTTGGTAGAATGGGAATAGTTCTGACTTCCTGGGCGCTGGTCTGTTTCTCTCCGGAAGCAAGTGGTAAATCTTTCTCATCTTCTGGGCCAGAGTTCGGGCTAGAGGTTTTTCTAGTTGGCAGGAAGCTCAGGTGACCAAAAGCGCTGAGGGGCCATTCGTTTTATGACGCTATCTGCCCACTGAGTCAAGTGGGCACGGATGTATTAAGATTTCTGCGCTTTGAGCCACCTTTGCCTGTGTAGGCCGAGGTTCGGCAGGGTTGAGCTGAAAGCTCGCCAGCCTCCTGCAGGCCGCCTGAAAGGAAGAAACTCCAGGGCCCAGGCCTAGAGACTCGGCTTGGACTGGGGCAAGCCAAGCGGATGGCTGACCTGGACTGGCCAGTTTCTGACGTCACTGAGACAGGCCCCCATCCCCAGAGACTCTCCCACCAAGAAAATGCTCAGGGGTTCCTAAGTCTCTATGCCTTCCTGCAGCCCTGAACCCAGTTGCAGCTGCTTCAGAGTTCCCTGCCTCCCGCTCGGGGACCTGAACTCTCTGTGTGATGACCTTCTAGCCCCAGAGATGATTATAGGCTCCAGACC